AGATTACTTACTTGCTTTTTCTAGGTTGTAGTTTCCCTCCTTGTGTTGGCATTTTCCATCAATTATCCTTTGAAGTGCTGGGTTTGTGGGAAGATATTGTGCAAATTTGGTTTTGTCATGGAATATCTTGGTTTCACCATCTATAGTGATTGAGAGTTTTGCTGGGTATAGTAATCTGGGCTGGCAATTGTGTTCTCTTAGTGTCTGTATGATGTCAGTCCAGGCTCTTCTGGCTTTTATAGTCTCTGGTGAGAAGTCTGGTGTAATTCTTATAGGTCTGCCTTTATATGTTACTTGACCTTTTTCCCTTACTGCTTTTAGTATTTTTTCTTTGTTTTGTGCATCTGATGTTTTGATTATTATGTGACGGGAGGTATTTCTTTTCTGGTCTAGTCTATTTGGTGTTCTGTAGGCTTCTTGTATGTTTATGGGCATCTTGTTCTTTAGGTTAGGGAAGTTTTCCTCAATAATTTTGTTGAAGATATTTACTGGCCCTTTAAGTTGAGAATCTTCATTCTCATCTATACCTATTATCCTTAGGTTTGGTCTTCTCATTGTGTCCTGGATTTCCTGGATGTTTTGAGTTAGGAGTTTTTTGCATTTTGCATTTTCTTTGACAACTGTGTCAATATTTTCCACCGTATCTTCTGCATTTGAGATTCTCTCTTGTATTCGGTTGGTGATGCTTGCGTCTGTGACTCCTGATCTCTTTCTTAGGTTTTCTATCTCCATGGTTGTCTCCCTTTGAACTTTCTTTATTGTTTCTATTTCTAGTTTCAGATCCTGAATGTTTTTGTTTAATTCCTTCTTTGTGTTTTCTTGCATTTCTTTAAGGGATTTCTGTGATTCCTCTTTAAGGGCTTCTATCTGTTTACTTGTACTCTCCTGTATTTCTTTAAGGGAGTTACTTAATTCCTTCTTATAATCCTCTATCATCATCATGAGAGGTGATTTTAATTCTGAATCCTGCTTTTCAGGTGTGATGGGGTGTTCAGGGCTTGCTATATTGGGAGAACTGGGCACTGATGATGCCAAGAAACTTTGGTTTCTGTTGCTTATGTTCTTGCGCTTACCTTTCGCCATCTGGTTAACTCTAGTGGTACCTGCCCTCACTGTGTAAAACTGGAGTCTGTATTTCCAGTTATCTTGCTTATTGCAGAGCTCCTCAGGGTCCAGAGGTCTCCGTGGTCTTATGCTCCTAATCTCCTGGGTGGAAGAACTCCTGGGACTCAGGCCACCTCTTGGATCTGGAAATCCTTCTGCTCTGAGTGCAGTGGGTCCTCGATGACTCAGGATTCAGTTTCAGCTGCTCTGAGTGCAGTGGCTCCAGCTGCTCTGAGTGCAGTGGCTCCAGCTGCTCTGAGTGCAGTGGCTCCTGGATGACTCAGGATTCAGTTTCTCAACAGGACAGGAGCAGACCGACTCTGTGTCTGCTCCAGCCCAGAGGACCAGGCAGGGGAGGAAGGGAAGTGGAATTCCGGAGGGGCGGGGTTTGGGTAGCTGCTGTGCCCTGGATGTCCCTGGCTCCCCGATGTATCTCTGGGGTTTAGGGAGTGAGATGGAGTTCTTACCAGCTGCTCTGAGTGCAGTGGCTCCTGGATGACTCAGGATTCAGTTTCTCAACAGGACAGGAGCAGACCGTCTCTGTGTCTGCTCCAGCCCAGAGGACCAGGCAGGGGCAGAAGGGCGAGTATTTTCTTTAACTGAGATTCTAAATTCCTCCCTTAAGGTCTGTGTCTGTGTCCATGCTTCATTATCTCTCCCTTTGTCACTCTGCCTGCTCCTTGAGTTCCTGTATTCTCTGCTCAAGGTTCTGCCTCCACATTTTAACTTTTTCTTTATATTGCAACTCTGATATTTTGTTATCTATTTTATTTTGATTATTAATTTTAAAAGGTTATTCTTCAAGTCTTGCTTCTAATCCTTATTATTTTCTCTCTGCTGCTCAGTCTGACCTGTGAGTTCTTGTATCCTTTGTTCTAGCATCTTTTCCAGCTCCTGTCTCCCTCCTTCAATTTCACCTTTCTGTCGTTTATTCTGATCTATAATTTCCTGTGTCTTCAATTCTAGTGTGTTCTTTAGGCCATGTTGCCAAGTCTTAAATTTTTCTTTCTGTTGTTCATGTTACTCTATAATTTCTTGTATCTTATATTCTAGGCCCAGCTTCCATAATCTTAATTTCTCTTTATGTTGTGATTCTGATATTGCAGCATCTGTCCTATTTTGATTTGCTAGCTTTAGTAAATTATCCTCTAGACTTTGCTTCCAAATTTTATCTCTATCTCCTTGGTGTTCAGCTTGATGTGTGAATTGTTGAATCCCTTTTTTCTAGTGTCTCTTCCAGCTCCTGTCTCTAACCTTTATTTTCTTCTTTCTGTTACTTATCTTGACCTATAAAATCCTGAACCTTTAGTTCTAGTGTTACCTATAGTCTCTTTTCTAAGGCAAGGAATTTTTTTATCTAGGGCCCTGTCTTTTGAGAAGACAAAGTAGATCAAGAGAATAAATATTGCTATACTGGTAATGACAAGGTGTCTATTTCCTTTAAATCCATCCCTGTCAAACCATTCAGAATATCATCCCTTAAAGCCCAAAAGATATTGTGTTTCTCATCTTTAAGTATCAATGTATGATACTTATTACTTGATCCAGAGCCCTTTGAACCTTTGTCTCCCTCTGTGTTCAATTCATAGTCTGGCTGTCCATGTCCTGTGTAGATGTGGAGGATACGGGGAAGCAAACACAGAAAGGCTCTCTCAGGCATATATGCTCCAGTCAGTTCACTGTGTCTGCCCAAGTCCAACTCCAGGCTGGGGTGCTGCCCCTGGCTGTAGCTGTCTGCCTGGGGCTTGGAGAGGAAGCCTCTCTGCAGTTCTCTGTAGGCCCCTCAGTTCCAGTCAGCTTTCATTCCACACACTGCTACAGCCTAGATTGCTGCCCTAGCCTTGTATTGGGGATGAGGGGAGGGGCAGTGATCTTTTATCTCAGGTTAGTTGAGTTCTAATTGATATATTGGGCACCATTTTGTTGCAGTAAATCTCCACCCCCAAGAAGCCCATGCAAGGAAAACACAACTCAGTTGTATATTTATAAACTGCACGCCTATATTGGGCAGATTTGCCTCTACACCACTTTCTTCCCCAGCTATGAAATCCCTGCTATTGTAGTTTCTCCAGGCCTTGGGCTTCTGCTCCATCTTCCTTCCAACTCTCCCCCGTCCTCCTCCGTTCAGTCTCCTCCAACTCTTTCTTTTTTTCTTTCTCTTTCTTGCTTCCTTCCTTTCTTTCTTTCTTTCTTTCTTTCTTTCTTTCTTTCTTTCTTTCAAGATTTATTTATTTATTATATGTAAGTACACTGTAGCTGTCCTCAGACCAGAAGAGGGCATCAGATCTCATTACAGATGGCTGTGAGCCACCATGTGGTTGCTGGGATTTGAACGCAGGACCCCAGAAAAGCAGTCAGTGCTTTCAACCGCTGAGCCATCTCTCCAGTCCCCTCCAACTCTTTCTCCCCTCCTCTTCCTGTCTTGCCTGGGAAACCAGCCTCCTCATTTTTGTCTAACGATTGGCTATTTGTCATCTTTCCAATCAGATAATTAAGGGAAATTCCTCTATAGTACTACCCCTCAACAAGCAGACCTTGAGTTCTGGATGTTGTGGTAATTTCTTACCCCAATAAGCACGTACAAAGAACATATAATCTAGTTAATATATTTATAAGCTATATGTCTAGATTGGGCAGATCTATCACTATATTGATTTATTCCCCAGCTATGAGACCCCTTGTTACTTGTGGCTTCTCCAAACCATGTGCTTCTGTTCTATCTTCCTTCCCCATCCTCTTCCTCTGTTCTCTGAGACCTCTTGTCCCACCTTTCCCCTTCACTGCGTAATCATTGGCTCTAGCCTTTATTTGACCAGTCAGGATGGGGAGAAGGTTCAGTGAGATCACCTGAGTAGGTGATCTCCTCCTCGTTGGGGACAGCCCCTTTTGAGGAAGTAGAATTAACATCAAATATAAACAGCAGGAAGGCAACCCACAACAGCTGGGGCATGCCCTGTTTATCTTGATGTTTCCAGTGTATAGACGTTGAACAAATTCTTATGAGATAGATAAGGGATGAGGAAAGAGAAGGCTTATCTCCTTAGTAGGGATAGGCAACGACTCTCTGAGGGGACATGTCCAGAGGGCTCCTTGTTTAATGAAGGAAAGAACTTAAGAGTGATACACTTGACTAACCAGGGACAGTTGATTACAAAAAGTAGAATCTTTCTCAAGTAAAAAAATGGAGAAGGCGGGATACATTAGAAAGCCCCCTTATATAATCAGCAAGAAAGCCAGGCTGCTTGAGGACCACAACCGCGTCTACTCCTTGAGACTGTGCTTCTCCATCACTTCTCTTTGACAAGCAGCTTCCTGTTTCTGTTCTCTCTGCTTTGTGCATGTGCTGCCAAGGAGTTGTGCAGTTCTCCTTGGCTTTCTGGTACCTACAGGCTGCCTGATGGCTCCTCTGTTCCAAGCTTGGTCTCAGGATTGATGCACCACTTCAGCTGCAGCTGGAGAAAGGTCCCATGACTCACCTGATAGTTGTGTTAGCCTACTTCACCTGTGGCACTTGACTGACAAAAGGTTTATTTAGCTCACATTTTAGAAGGATAAAGTTTGCAGTCAAGTAGCCTCAATTGCTTTGGGCCTCTGATAGGGTAGCACACCACAGCAGAAGTTTCTGTAGGGTTAGACTGCTCAGGAAACAGGGAGAAAGAGAAAGGAAGAGACCAGGGTTCCACAGTCCTTTCATCCCCAGACTTCAGCACCTCCTATACTAACCTCATCCTTCAGGTCCACAGCATCCCCACATGTACCGTTAGGGAACATTATCCGAAGCAGAACAGATGAATAGGCACCAGTGATGTCTAGCCACGGAATATCATGTTTTCAATAACGTTTGAATGGTAGAATTGTTTGTGCTGAGTTGAGATTTTTTTCTCTTTTCTTCTCAGTTCTCAAAAGCCTGTCTGTATGTTAAAGTCCCATCTGCCTAAGGAGGAGAAGACAGTCAATCCAAGCCAGATTTTTTTTGAAAGGCAATTCCAAGCCTCAAGGCTCAGCCAGGATATCAAAGAGGCTGAAAAGAAGGGTCCGGTAAGCTGAGGTCTGGGAGTGGAGCTGTGTGGGCAAGGTTTGCAATACCCACTGTGCAGGGAGCACTAGTGCCAGAGTGGAGCCTGGCAAAGCCCTCCCTCACAGAGCAGACAGTAGCCAAAGTGTGGAGTGAAAAGACAGAGGCAGCAGGGAGCACTCGTTTCATGTTGTGAGATGGTGGGAAGCCAGGAACTCAGTTCTTCTCCCTGATGGGTGCTGAGCAGGGAAGAGACCCAGAAACACAGACTATGTGGGTTCCTGAATCCCACAAGTCTTTACAAGGTGAGGGCCAAGAAGCCTGGCCAGAGCTGGCTCCAGTGACTTCAGCTCTCCTCTTTCCCCACCCTTTTGTTTTCTGATAGTTTCCTACCATTCACTATTCATTACACAGAAAACAGACCAAATAGTTTGCTTGTAGCCTGGGGTGATGGTGCACATCTGTAATCCTGGCAGGAGGATAAAAACTGTAGACCAGCGTCTGGAGAGATGAATTAGCTGTTAAGAGCACTAGCTGCTCTTTTTGAGGACCTAGGCTGAGTCCCAGCACCCACACAGCGACTAACAACCTTCCAGTTCCAAGAGATCTGATGCCTTCTTCTGGCCTCCGTGCATACTGCATGTGTCTAGTGCACACACACATGCAGGCAAAACACCCATACATATAACATTTTTAAAAATGAAAGAATTTGAGGCCAGCCTGCACACACAGCAAGATCCTGTCTCAAAACACTACCACCATCAGCAACAAAAATTGTAATTCAATTATAATAGGACATTTTACAGATGGAAGCGTATGAAGAGGGATGGAGCACAGTGGGCTCTTGTAGAACTTACAAAGGAGTTTTCTCGGCACAGGTTTTGCCTACAGAGCTAACAAGTGCTCAGGCTCCTGGCCCCTCTCTCTCCCCCTTCTCTTCCTCTGACACCTGCAGCTTAGAGCCCCTGGGACTGCAGCACACAGTACACGGGCGCCTGCCTCTTCTGCAGGCTGTTCCCTTCACCTCTGCCACATGTGGAAGCTAGGACAGGTCCCTCTCCAGCTTGAAATCAGAAATCGGAGAACTTCATACACATGTACAATGAAACATCCTATCTACCCCATATTTTCCCCAACTCCCCCCGAAATCACTCTCAACACAGCTCCTTCCCAAATTCATATAATTGTCTTCTACTTCTCCTTTGATAACCTGTTAAGTGCAGTTAGCACTGCCCATATGTGTATGTGGGGCCATCCACAATGTGTGAGGAACCTACCACTGTCAGCACATTAAAGCAAAGAAAAAGATTCTCCCTTCCTTGGCAGCTATAAACTACCAATAGCTCTCAATAAGGCATGGGGTCGTGTGATCACCTCACCCCACCATCTATGCCAGAATTCTTGCTGGATTGACTAAGTACTACAACTGCTGTGAGTTCATAAAGGCAACAGCCATGCCAAGTTCATAGCGCTCCTCTCCAGTATCACACACACACACACACACGCACACATGCACATTCATGGCAATTCACCTGCCTCTGCCTCTCTAGTGCTGTGCCACTACTCCTGGCTCTTAGACTCTACCCCGTCTTTCTCAATGTCCCCTGAGCCTTCCTCAGTGTCAACCACCCTGGGGGTGGTTGTGGGGCATCGAGAATGGTGCCCTGTGTAGGGCTGGGCACACAAATCTCTATTCTCTGCACGGTAATCAAATGTTTTGTGACCCAACTTATAATACTCAGTTGTGATATTCTCAGTCTCTTTAGAAACAAATTCTCCCTTCAGGCAGATCCAATCTTGAGATCTCGAGAAAGGACTTGGTTATCTACAGAGGTCACACTCAACAACTGTGTTGTCAAGTGACACGTAAATAGAAAAAACCTCCTAATTCCGAAGCGCTTGGTTTTTGTCTGGGCCTCTCTCCTGTGATCCTGAGTCATTATGGCTCATTAGCTACAAGTTGGACATGCCTGCTGGGATGGGAGTTTCTGTATACACATCCTACTGTCTGTGTGTCTGTACTGTCTGTGTGTCTGTCTGTGTCCATCTCTCTTTACTCTCTGCTCTCCCCTTCGCTGTGTAGAATGGGTCTTAGATCCTAATGTGGATTCTACTGCCATGGTGGAAGAGGCTCCCTGCTGCCACTGTAAGGTTAAAAAAAAAAAAAAAACTGGAGCGAGTGGTTTCTTTTTTCTTGTTAAATAATTTTTTAAAGATTTGTTTATTTTATGTATGTGTACTCTATCTGCATGTACACCTGCACGCCAGAAGAGGGCGTCAGATCCCATTACAGATGGTTGTAAGCCAACATGTGGTTGCTGGGAATTGAACTTAGGACCTCTGGAAGAGCAGTCGGTGCTCTAACTGCTGAGAGGGTATTTTAAATGCAAGTCTTATCTTCTGTTCATACACCAGTAGTGAGGAGATCTGCACGTTGGCAGACTCCTCCCCTTTAGGGCATTGGGGTCTTTGCCATCTTTAGTATCTGGCTTCTGAGGACTCCTTCCTGATTTTGTTTTTTTTTTTTTTTTAATGTGGGACAGGACAGAAGGCAGTAAGTTGTTTTTTCTCTTAGCACCCAGTCATATGGCTGTCTCTAACTATAGGGTGCAAGGTGCTGAGGAAGGCAGCCCCTGGAGGGTCTGAACAGTGGAGGGGATTCAGTGGAGGGGATTGCTTTGGGGACAGCTAGTCACCTCTGCCATACCATAAAGGTAGGTAGAATTGAAGAAATGGAAAGGCTCATCTGCAAACAAAGGTGAGGCAAGCAGACTGGCTAGGAACCTGTCTGAAAGGCAGAAGGGCTAGGAGTGAGGGAAGGTCTGCAGGGTCCCTCCTCTCGTGGGGGCCTGCTTCACCGACACACAGTCCCTGTCTTCTGTGAACAGGTTTTAGGGACTCGGCCACAGAGACCATGCTCCTGGGCAGCAGCAGATAGCACGCAGAGGCCATCATCTGTGGGAAGAAGAGTGATGACAGCTGAGATCCTGGGGAAGCATCTGGCCTCCCTGCAGCAGGCAGCCATGTCAGGCCTGCAGTGGTCCTAGCTTTGCCCCGTCACCTCTTACATGCAACTGCACATACTGACGGTGTAGCTTTTCTCTAGGTAGGAAGCTATAGCAAGAAATATCCAAATAACAGCAGCTAGATTTTCAAGTTCTGGCTGTGATCTAGGAAGTCTGTGTGGTGTTTTTGTTTCATTGAAACATTTAACAGCATGACAGCTTTATCATCTCCCAGAATTTAGTGCTCAAAAGGGCTCTGTGCCTGGCTTGGGGACAGTTCCCAGCTCAAAGCTCAGGGCTTTATTCAAGTTCAGTCCTGCTCCTGCTCCAGGGTGCTCTCCTCACAGATACTCAGGCATAGAAGTGGGAACAAATCTGCATGCTGCTTCTGTGGGCACTGAAGGGGCTTGACAAGAACCCCCACCCAGAGGGGACTTCTAGCTGTGTGAGGGCTCTCTGCTTCCTAGTGACAGAAGGAGTCTCTTCACATCCTCTAGAAAGTTGGGCTCACATTTCTGTGGAGAAGAGAACTCAGAGGCAGATCTGGGTCACTAGGTGAAGAGGACAACTGGAGTTGCTGGTTGTTCCCTCTCTAGTCATCAAAGTCATATGACTCAGATCCTGAGGGCTCCTGTGTCTTAAATCTGACCAAGGTATCCTGATTGTTGAGCAATAGAGACACAATACTAGTCACACTCACCTCAGTGAGGATTAAAGTCCCCACAGTCCTGGGAAGAGTAAGAGTGATGCAAACTTGCTGGATTGGCATGTCATACTCCACACAGGGCTGTCTGCAGCAACTCTCCCTGACTTCAGTTGCATCTTGATTCAGCACCAACAAAACCTGCTCCCCCAAACCCAGGAAAGCCGGAGTAGGCTTGCTCAATAGGCTGTGCCTGGTTCTTCAAAGCTCCTTGTAGATAAGCAGGATGCTGCTTGTTTCAGTTTTAGGTACCAGGGAAAGGCTCTTTTCTGTTTTAACCAGTGGTGCTGTGGTCTGTATCTGCGGTCAGTAAGGGATGAGTCTTTAAAATCAATCTCAATACACTGAACTGTGTTCTCAAGTGAGTCAGCCAGTGATTATATTTAAATAAAAATGGGGAGAATGGAAGAGCTCTGAGTTACTCTTTGAGCTGCTTGGAAAAAGCTGTTGCCTTAGCATCCAAGTGATCCTTTCAAAGGGTGAGGATTTTGTGTTCAAAAATTAGTTAAATATTTTAAAAAATTATATTTCAGTAGCCAAAGGCCAAACTAGCAGTATGGATCTGGCTCTGACAGGACAGGAGACAGGATGTGATCAGGATACTGGAGCTGCAGAGCAACAGATGTGCAGACAGTCCTGACATGTGCCTTTCACCCTTCTTTGTGGGTCACCCCTTTGGTTCAGACTGGCCAAGCACAGCTCCTATGCACTTCACCCACCCACAAAAATCACCAGTGAAATAAAGCCCCAGAAACTTGACAGAGATGTCCACAAAGCCCTGGGCAGGCTAGTAGGAGGGTCAGGCAGCTCTCCTGGCCCCACCTCACCCTCTCCTCCTGGCTTCATTATAAACAACTTCTGAAAGTAACCATTAAAAGCCTTTCACATAAAGAGTCAAGCTTTGAAAGGAGTTACATTCATAAACTTATACTTTTATTCTCTTTCTGTACATGTTGGCAATGATAAAGCTTAAAGATGCATGTTCTATGAAATATGCAAAACAAGGAATTTACATAAATAATTTATACTTCAGAAAATTAAAGTTGAAAAATACTCCCACATTATTAGAGTTCACAGTATATTTAAAGTACATCAAGCTTTTCTCCTTATAGTTCAAACTATACTGTCTTAGCAGAGAATGATAAACTCTAATCAGAATAAAACGATCAAGTTCTGTCTATTCAGTGCACAAGTGGATGCTATTTCAGTATCAGGCCGCACAAGCCCCAAGGCTGCAGCATTTCATCTCAGCCCTTCACCTCCTGAGTGCTGTGACCCAGCAGAGGTCACATAGTGTGGAATGGTTCCAGCATCACCAACTCCACAGTGGACACATTTGCCAAGTGGTAACATCTGGTGGTCTGATGCCTCATTTCCACATAATACTTTTATAGCCCTGAAAATGGAAACCCTGGCATCTGACACAGCGGAGTGTGTTAACACGAGTACAAGGCACTGTGCTGTGGCATTTGCTTAAAAGATCATGTTTGCATAGATTGCTAGCAATTTAGTGTGCAATAAAATACAGGCCCAGCGAGTGTGGCTTTTTGATGGATGAAGCCATGTGATGCTCCTCTGCCCCAGGAGAGCAAAATCTCTCTTTAGACCCAGCCTTGTGGGCAGCTCCCCTGGTGCTGGCTTCTCCAGGCCCTCAAAGGAGAGTTTTTTGTTCAAAGAGTTGCAGGTCAAAGCGGACCCAGACTTCTCCAGTGGGAACTTCGTGCAGTAGTAATCGGCGGGTGGTGGGGCCTTTGCTTTCCTGTTCTGTTCGGATTTTTGCCACTGGAACTTCAGTACGACCCAGGAAGTCTGGGAAATAAACATCATGTGAGGATCAGGTATCTTTGTTCCCATTAAGATTTAAAAACTCCCAAGCAGGAGAGTCTGAAATAGCATTTACACAACTTTCAAACACTGAATGGATCTCTGATACTGACAGCAGACAAATGTACAGTGACAGCTGCCTATGTGGAATGTTCTACCCATCCAGGACTGGCCAGTGTTTCCCTTATGTATACAGGTAGTGGCTGTATTCGTAGGACATGCTCTCCCCCCAAACCCCCACCTCCTGCTGACATGGGCCTGTGTCATTTCCTATAGGTGTCGTGGGGGTAGGTATAAGCACAGCTTAGGACTCTGGGTATAGACTCCAGACCCCAGAAAACTGGGAGTACCTTTAGGCCTTCATGCCAAGTTATACTTACCATCTGGAGAAAACTGGTCTCTGTCAAACATAGTGAGACACAGAACGTCCTGGTAAAGATCCTTGATGAAGAACTGGCAGTTGAAGTTCCACTTGGGATTTAGTGTGTCTTGGAGGGTCCTGGTGGTATAGCTTTGGGAGCCCATGCTGATTTCACAGTATGGATTACTTTTCCCTGCACAGAAACAATCCAAAGACACATGCAGTGTGGAAAGTGAATGGGGTGACCATGGAGGGTCTGTAGGCTGCTTCACCAGAGACCATGGCAGGAAGCACCACTGCCTGGCAGGACAGTTACCTTAGAGTCTAGCAGCTGTATGGCCCCATGTTCCCAATGACGTCACAATTCTGGGGAACAAGTTTATGTCCTAACAGCAGGACTGCTCCCTGAAAGCCTGGCCAAGTACCTTTGTGCATGTTTTGTGTACTCTCATGCAGTAGCAGTCAGAATGGTGGCTGCTGGTTCTTGTTGGGAAATAGTGAATGATAACTGGCCCAGGAGTTAGCTTATCAGGGTTCTAGCAACACCAGAGACACTGTGTTTTAAAAACTACCCATTATTCCATGTTCTAAAGAGGTAAGAAACAGGGTGTTACCACAGCTGTTGAATAAAAGCAGCACTTACCATTTGGTTTGCAGGCTTTTAATTCTGTAGCCTCAATGACATGTACCATCAGACGCCCAATACCTGAAGTCTTTTGAGAACGGGCTACAAAAGAGGAAATGAGTCATGTTAACTTTTCCTCTGAGAATGTAGACAGACACCACAGTGAAGAAGCAATGCTTGGGCCTCTGTCTGTTCTCACACACTCTCTCTGAGGCTGGAGACTAGCCCCCATGCCTCATAACCACGCTCTGCCACTGGCTATGCTTCTAGCTCCTGCTGTGTGTCACTCTAATCAACTAGAACTTAGCCCTGAACTAACTACTATCACCTGCTATTGCTCTGGGATTAGCAGCTAGCGTTGGCTCCTTCCTCAGGCTGTGTCGCCTGCTAGGGATGCCTTTCTGGCATCCTTTGCCCATCCGTACCTAACTCATCTTTCAAGATGCAGGCTAGTCTCAGTCACCGCAGCCTCCTTCCCTCTGAGTACCACTAGCCTCGACTGAGACACACCCCACAACCTGCTAGGCCTGACATGCTGCACCCTGTCTGCCTCCTCTGCCAGGGAGGAGCCACTGTGTTGCATGGACTGCTTTATCTAGCTGTAGCAGTCCGGCAAATGCCTTTGAATAGTTATATTAGTTAAAATGCATGCAGTTTGTCCAGTACTTCTTGCAAATAGCATTTCCTGGTTACTTTGTGTTAGGTACATGCTAGATCTTTATACAGAGTATATTTAATTCCATAATTGCCTTACAAGGTAGTTCCCATTTTACAGGTGAGGAAAACTGTGCCTTAGGAAGGACCATGTGCTCTGCTCACAGGCTTTTTATAGACAGGGTCTCATTCTAGCCCAAGCTGTTGGCCTTGACCTTGGAATCCTCCCGTCTCAGGGACCTTTTCTGTTTTGTTTTGAGACAGAGACTGAGTCCCCTGACTGGCTTGGATCTTGCTATATAGACCAGGTTAGTTTTGGACTTACAGAAGTTTGCCTGCCCTTTGCCTCCAGTGTGGCAGGACTAAAGGTGTGTGCCACCACACCTAGGCCAGAGTTTTTAAATGGCAAGGTTAAAATGTAACTATCAGATAACAGAGTGCGAACCACTCATCAAAATTTCAATTCTATTTAAGCATTTCATCTTGGTGAGCAGTTTTATTTCATGTTTAATCTATTTAGAAAGGTTTTTGAGATATTTCAATTTGGACAGAGTGAGTCCTGTGGTCTGGACATGTGTAGTCTTCTCACCTTTTTTCTTTCTTTTTTTAAAATTTTTTTGAGACAAGGTATTGTTAGGTATCCCAGGCTGACTGGCCTCAACCTTGAAGGGCTCCTGCCTCAGCTTCAGTGGTGTGTAGCCTGGTCTACACCCCACTCCCCAGTGGTCTACAGCCTACCCCCCAGTGTCCTCGTGTCTCTACCTTGGAGCATGCCCTTGTTCCTTGAAGGCAGAGCCTGGCCTTACTGTCTCTGTGATGCACATCACAGGGCCTGGCACATAGCACTGAGTCTGAAGGACTGTACCCACAGAGAACACACAGTGAGAAACCCATGGAGAATGCAGAACACACACAGTGAGAAACTCAGGAAAACCTTGATTTGCACTTTTGACAAATTAGAAGATGATTATGTTTTATGAAATGATTCAGTCATTGATTTTTCAATAGCAAGCTTTTAAAATAGTATTCAATTAGGAAAAGGCAATCTTCACATACCTTCAGGAACCAGAACAAAGTAAGGGGGACCTGAATAAAAACACACAGAGAGCTTCGGCTTCAGAAGTGGGAGCCTAAGTGGGAGGGGGAGGGCCCTGCACTGGGAAGATGGGGCTGGCACTGTCATGGGGGCCAAGGATCCTTTAGGACACTGAGCAGGTGGACAACCTGTCCTATGGACAGAGGACACAGTGTGACACAGACAGATCAGATCCCCTGCTCCCCAGGAGTCAGTGGTGACTTCAGAGAATGGAGAAGAGACATCTGAGGGCAATGCAGCCCTAACACAGCTCCACTCGGGCCTTGAAGGATTGGAAAGTCCTAAGGAGAGGCCCGGCGGCTGCCTGTGACACAGCAGTGGGAGACTGAGTGGGGAAGGGGTCTAGGTATAGGCCATGTTGGGGATGAGCCCTAGTTTGGGGTAAAAAACTCTTCTTAATTTGAAACGCTTGAAGATTCTCAGGCAGGGGTTGGCATATAAGTAGAGTTGTCACTGTCAAGAGAGGAGGCTGACAGAGCCTCTGCAAGGACAGAGGCCTGGGGAGGCCAGCAGAGCTGCTGGAGGGGACTTGTCTGGAGTGCTGGGATTGCAGAGAAGACATAACCCACCACTGAGCTGATCATGGGAGGGTTGTCTGACAGACACAACAGAGGAGGGCGGCCTCCCAGGAAGATGGGAGGAAAGAGTTGAGAGTCAGATGAAGCTGCGTAGACGAGCCTCAGGATATGAGGAGGTCGGGGAGAATGTGTGTGTGTGTGTGTTTGTGTGTGTGTAAGTAGAGGAAGCTGGGACAAGGAATGGGTGGATTGCTAGTGTCCTTGAAAGTGCCATCTACATAGCAGTGGGGGAAAGATGGAGAGTGAACCTAGTGTGCCGAGTGGTGGGGC